CAAGGGTTCAATAGATCAAAGGTAAGGAGAGGGAAAAACGCAGATAGCAATGCAGATAGCATCAACAGATTTGAAAGGCTTGTGGCCACCAGGTATTGAACCAGTGTGAATGTGCGTGGGCTGGCCATTTGCAGAGAAGACACATAATACAGAAGGTCAAGACCACCTCCGTAATCACCACTGTTCATGCAGTGCTGCAATATCATGTATAGAGTACCCAATACATGCAAAGCACAGTGACCTATTTCTCTGCCATTCTTTCTTATTTTTAATCTATAAACAGCAGTAGCAGTTTTATCCCTGACCAGATAAGGGGTCCAGATCATTTAAAACCTTTCTTTGAACTAAAAAGTAGGCAAAATTGGTCAATGTTAGAAACGTAAAATGCTTGTTCCCCAGTGCCGCAAAGAAATGGCACTCAAACATAAATGCAATTTTCTCAGAAAGGCAAACTTTACTTTCTGCAGAAAGGGTGCCCCTTGAAGATGGAACAATGGCAAGAGCACACCTAGACAGGGGAGGAGCAGGAGTTCTTATTCCTGATGCAGGTAGCCCCTACTGCTGTGTCATTCCCTATTGGCTAGGGTTGGACCGCACAGTCTAAGCCAGTTCCGACTGGCTATTTTAAAGAGGGCAGGGGTATGAGCCAGAGTGGCGGGGTGAGTAGTTTGGCGGGAAGGATGGTTAGGAACAGGTAATCAAAGGTGACTTAGGTCAGAGCAGGTGACCAAGGGTGACTCAGGTCAAAGGTCAAAGCAGGTGACCAGGATGAGACAGGACGGAGCAGGTGACCAGGGGAACAGATGTGAACTACTGATTAGGACTGGTGGGAAAGTTGTTTACTGAAACTAGAAGCAAGTGGGCAAAGAGAACCGGGAAGTTAAACTTTAAAATGGAAAATTAAAGAATAAGAGAGCTGAACATACTGACATACTGATTCTTTGAAGAGAAACTTGAAGTTCACTATATTTAACAGTTTGGCCTACAAACCAATAGTCACAAAATGTAAATGCCCATTACTTTGTAAGAGAGAAGACCTCTCTCACCAGATTGTTGATTTTTACTTTGAACGTAATTCTAACAGATGGGTGTCCTATTATTCTTGGCTACAGCAGAACAGGGAGTGGGACCACAAGAGGCAGATGCATTAATAGGTATTAGAAGAGATTTAAAAGCATCAATAAGTAGATGGAAGACATCACATAATAACTGGACCCATTTTTGGATGGGAGTCTTATCCCCTGAGGTATCACTGTTTTACAGCATGATTAAAAAACTACGTTCCTAAGGAAAACTCCTAGCAATTTGAAAATGTTTTAAATGTATTGTAATATCTGTTTTAATGAAGGCAAAGAGTTTCCACTAAATACATATACACACATATATATATAACAAAATTTAGCATTCTGCATAACTATAATGCTACATTTCCTGATAACATTGAATAAACCAGGCATTCCTAAACTTTTAACAAATCTCAATATTCTTGTGTTCATTTCCTTTGTCATTTCTGCAGAATCTTTAAAAATTCTGCCAATCATTTATTTATTTCCCAGCACTGTTTTGGATTCAGTTCCCTCAGAAAACAGTGGGATGAACTAAATAATTTCCTATGTTTCCTTGACCCCATGATTTTACAACTTACATGCCCTTCCATGTTTGTTAGAAAATGTAACACACACAAAACAACTTTTAACTTTCAGCTTCAGGATACATAAAAGCACACTTCTCTATAAGAAAAATAACCCTTTATGGACTAAAACAAATATTTACAGGAAACCCCAAATCTTGTTGCAAGTAAACTTCCTTAGGCTTTGGGAAAATGATAAAAGCACCAGTGAAAATATTAAACTGCAGGTTACAGGATCTCTCAGTACAGAATCTCTCAGAATCTTGGTAGGAACAAATTCAACACCTTGAAATCTAAATCACTGAGCAACCATTCACATCTGCTCCTGAAAATAACATGGCCCTTGTGTAGGTCTTGGCATTCAGGAATTTTAACATGCCTCATTAAAAAATCACAGCCAATCTTGCTCTACAGGTGATGAAACAAAGATAAATTATCTGACGGAAATGCAAAGGAACTTAGAATTCATTTTGTTGGGCACCTGTTTCAGCATTTAACCTAGTACAGTCTAGCAAAGCAAAAGGAGTGAAGGTTTTGTGTGTTCAAACGGCTCAAATGAAAAACGTAAACTAAGGTGAACTGAGTTTGATTTACTCAATAATAGGAAACTTAAAGAATATTTCTGGAGCATCAGCACTGTTCTGGATGCTGAAGATTCAAAGATTCAAAATCATTCCTGCCCTTAAGTGAAGTACCATTTATTGGGAGGGAAGATAGCTGTGTTCAACAATAACTTTAATACTGTGAAAGGAAATTAAATTTTGGTACCCTGAACACATTTGGACAAAGGGAAAAGTCAAGCTGGGAACTGGGTCACTCAAAGTCTTCCCCTTTTAGTTCCTAAATAAGATGGCTACAAGGTGAAAAGCAATATAAGCCTTCCACATATTTTGTCCACAAGGATATTCCTAGTGAGCTGTTAAAACTTCACCATGGCAATGCAAATGGACAGCTTATCTTTATAAGTGCAGTCACCCTGGCCCACCAGACACCAATGCATATCTGAGTGTTGCCCTACCCCATTTTTGTCTGTTGTCATATGTAAAATGCAGATTCCCCGCATTTCTCCTCTGCCCCTTTTGTTTATGTGATCTTATGTAAAAAATGCAGATTCACTTACATGAAAATTGTGTACTTCTCAATATCCCTGCCCTTTCCCCTTTAAATATGGAGCCCTCAAAATCATCTTCTGATAAAGGCAGAGACCTATCTTCCAGGCACATCCTTAACTTTGGCAAATAAACCTCCTAAAATGATTGAGACTTGCCTCGTCATTCTCCTCGATTGACGGTACAAAGCTAATAAAAGAAGGATGGGCAACGGTTATTAGAGTGAGAGAAGTGAGGAATGAGAAAGGTTTATAGAGGAAGGGAGCATCTGATCAGGGCCTTGCAAAACAGGAAGGAGGTCAGAAACAGGAGGGTGAGGGTATTCCCTGTGTAGGGAATAGAATGAGTCCAGAAACAGTGGTGGCTTGTATATGCTGAGTATGGGGAGCTGTGAGTGATCTTATTTCACTGGATCAGGTACTTCTATACTTTTTACAAATCTCGACATCCCTGTGTGCATTTCTTTTGTCATTTCTGCAGAATCTGATAAAATTATGCCCATCATTTATTTATTTCCCCGCAATGTTTTTAACATTCTCCCTGGCGGAAGTCAGAATGGGAAGGAATATTGAAGGTATATGATGGAGAACTTTGAATGCTGTAATAAGGAGAATGGACTTTATCTTCAAGGGTGGGGTCTGTAGGGGACTGGATCAGAAAGGGGAGAGAGAGGCCGAGGACCAGATGGCAGGCAATGACAACCATCCCAGTGAGAGGCAATAGCTGTTAAAATCCAGGAAATGGCAGAGTGAACAGAGAAGGGAGACACAGAGAAAGGAGACTGATAGAACCAAAGGCATGAAGGAGTGGAAACAAGTGTCAGGACCATGAGTTGAGAGAAAGAGAGACAGCCAGCCACACTGGGCTCTTTTCCTAGCATCCCATGCTCCATTGAGGATCAGCTGTGTGACCCTGGGCAAGCCCTTCCTGTGCCTCAGTTTCCTCATCTGAAATGAAGGCTTTCAATGAGATCAGTGGTTTCTGAACTGTTCCATGGAGACCTAGGATTCCAAGGAAGTTTTGATGGAGAGGGAGGGGAGGTGGGGTAGAAGAGGGATGAGGAGTGGGGTACAACTGTGCAGTGGGCTGTGACTGGAGAGTAGAGTGAGGACGAGGAGCTCTAGATCCCAAACCTTCTCTCTTTAACCAGAACATCTCCTTCACACAATAGCATTCCCTTTAAGATCAAATTTGATTTTTAAAAAAGTTTGATAAACACCGTACTATACAGATAACCTCTAAAGTCCCTTTGAGCGCTCCCATGTGAATAACCACACTTACAGAAACTAGTTATCCAAGAGATCTGCTAATGTAATGGACATGGGTCTTGTTTTTAGGACCCTGATGAGTTCCTCTGTTTATTTGATTAACTGTTGTACAAACGCTGGAACAACTGGAACAACAATTGTCATGCTGAATCGGTGCCAAAACTCTCAAAAATGGAAAAGATTTACTGAAAGGCCATTTGGTGTTCTAATTCTTGTGCGGTACCTTTTCCCAAGACCCAGTAAGTTTTTCAAACCTCATAAACACCAGTGTGAAAATGGCCCTTTGCATGAAGAGTACAAAGCCATGGCTTGGCTACCGACTGTTGTCTGCTTTGGGGTAAATTGAGTTACCCCTCTGGGTTCTGTTTCCCTGCCTGTTGAACGAGAGCATTGCACCAAAGAGTCTAAAGGCCTCCGTTCTGGCTTTAACATTCCAGGATTTCATGATCCTAAACCCTTGGAGCCCGTTATCTGAACAATTCCCTGATCAATAGCATATGCTCTGGGTCTTGTTCTGTCTTAGTCAGATGGTCAGTATATTGAGGGCTTTGGCTGTTTACTTTAAGGATTGGGCAATGTGTGGTTTAGCCAAAATCTCTGAGCCCTGCCAATGGATCATTCTGAATGGAGGGCTAAGGTCTAAATTAACAGCAGACCTTTAGAAACACAATGCTTTATGGATTGGTATTTGAAACGCAGAAACCCCGTGCCTAGGTATAAACTCCTGGCAAATGGTCCACAAACCACCATTAAAATGGAAACAAGAAAAACCAGCGAATCAGAGCAACCATGAAGTGGAAACCAGAAAGTTTCAGACAGGTCTGAAACTCACACACTCACTGCATTCCTTTCCTGCCTGGTGTCTCCTCCTCTCCCCTCCCACTCCCACTTTTTTTTTTTTTTTTTTTTTTTTAACAACAATTCGTTTGTTTAAAAAAAAAAAAGAAAGAAAGAAAATAAAGGAAAAACCAAAGAGGCAAAATGAGGACTCACTTGGAGAGCGCGGCCAGGCTGCGTCTTCCATGCGATCCGGATCCACCCAGCATGTCCGCAGTTGGGAAGGGGCGGCGGGGCAGAGAGGTACGGAGACCTGGCTGGGCCGGGCGGTCAGGGCGTGGGCCGGGCCCGCGGAGGGGCCATGTGATCTGTGGCTGAAATGCACGGTGCAGGATGCTCCCGTGTTCTCCCTTTGTGTTAACACGTTGGTCTGTCCCTGTGACGAAAGTCTGGGCTTGTCCTCAGCCAAATCTACTCCTCCCCACCCGTTCCCTCCTCACAGGATCATCAGAGAGCTGATTGTTATTTTTTACTGTAATCTCTCTAATAGAAGCCCATCCTGTTTAGCGATTAAAGAGCACTGATTGCTTCGAGAGTTCCAGAAGTGTTATTGCTGGGTAGTGAGGCCAGGATCCCCAGTAGCTTTCCTGATGAAGACTTTATATGCTTAACTACAAATAATTTTTCCAAGGTAAGTAACTGGTCAAAGGAAAAAGACACTGATGCATTTGCTCAGCCTTTTGGAAAACAGTTGATCATGGTATTACAGGCATATACAACCTAATTCTGACAAGATCAACAGAAATCAGCCCACCAAAAAGTTCATCCGGGTGCAGTTCTCAGGCTCCCATTCTGAGCTCTGTTCTCAATTAGCATTGGTGTAGGTGGCTTCCAAAGCAAACAGTTCCCACTGAGAAATCAAATCTGAGAAACTCCTCTTATCCCTTTTATCCAGGGAAGGAGGCATGACATAAAAATGCAAACCAAATGAAAAGGGTTGAAGAGAGACGGCCCTGCTCAGTGATGGGCTGGATGGTTCAGCATGTTTGGTGCTCACACCTCTCCAAGAAATGTGGGCAAGAGCCCTCCGGAGAACATGTTGAAACAGCAGGCCCCGTCTGCACCCATGGTACTCTGGCAGTGATCTCATCAGCCAAGCTGGGCAATGGAGCCTGGTCAGCAGCGGCTTGGAAAGCAGCCAAATTCCAGTTCCTGAGGAGGGGGTGGTGGTGATTCTGTCTGGAGATGACACTCCCTCTCAGCTTGACTTATGAATATGGTTCTTGATCTCTAATGAGTACTAAACAGACTGGTGCTTGGGTACCAAGCTGCTCGTGGGACTGGCTTTTGGTCAAGTGAGAACAAATCAGATCTCCACAAAGTAGGGTTAAGATTATTCTCTTGGTAAATAGCCAGAGAAGCAGTCAACTTCACACATTGAGAGCACTTTCACAGAATGAAAGCGATCTTTGAGATCTGTGGCTTCATATCACACGCAGACAAGGACACCAAAGCACAGAGCATTTAGACAACTCACCCAGTGTCATGGAGCTGAACTGCATCTGCTACTCTTGTGTTCAACTTAAAGTTTAACTGGGTTAGGTTAAATGCTCTCTTCACTTTAGCTAGAACATTTTGGTTGTTTTCTTGCTTAAATACTATGCGGTCATCAGAGTCATAGTTTATAGGCCAGGTGAGGTGGCTCATGCCTGTAATCCCAGCACTCTGGGAGGCTGAGGCGGGTGGGTCAAGGTCTGGAGTTCGAGACCAGCCTGGCCAACATGGTAAAATCCCGTCTCTACTAAAAATATAAAAATTAACCGGGGTTGGTGGCGGGTGCCTGTAGTCCCAGATACTTGGGAGGTTGAGGCAGGAGAATCGCTTGAACCCAGGAGGCGGACGTTGCAGTGAGCTGAGATCACACCACTGCACTCCAGCCTGGGCGACAGAGTGAGACTCCATCCCAAAAAGCAAAAAAAAAAAAACAAAACAAAAAATGAAGTCATAGTTTATAGAGTAAATACAGTTTAATAAACTTAAAGTTAATTATCTCCATATATCATTATGTATATATGCACTTAAATATCTCTGATTACACATATGATCGCTGAACATATATTGACAAAAGTAGCACATAAGACACTCATAAAATAGAGATATGTCTGCCTTCACACAAGAGTACTTAAATACACACTGACTTGTCTTGAGTTTCTCACGCTAGAACTGAGACAGAAACATGTATCGAGGCATTCTGCCGCTCCTCTTTCTCCCGAACTTTGCCCAATTAATTTTTTCTCTTCAATTACTTACAAAAGTCAGTGGCTTTCTGTGGTAGGTAGAATAACGTTTCCCCCAAATCTCCAGAACCTGAGAACATGTTAATTTGCGTGGCAAAAGGGACCTTGTAGTTGTGATGAAATTAAAGGCACTGAGATGGCGAGAGCATCCTGCATTGTCCGGGTGTACTGGAACGAATCACATGGCTCTTTAAAATCAGAGACCCCTTCCCAGCTGTGGTTAGGGGAGCTATATCTTCGGGGTGGGCAGACAGTTAGACTGGTGATGGCTTTGAAGATGGAGAGGGGGTCCAAGAGCCTGAGAATGTAACTTCCTCTAGAAGCTGGAAAAGGCGAGGAAATGGATTCTCTCCTGGGGCCTCCAGGAAGGAACACAGCCCTGCTGACACCTTGATGTTAGCCCAGTGAGACCTGTGTCGGACTTCTAACCTATAGAACTGTACATAATAAGTTGTGTTGTTTAAAGCCACCAAATTTGTAGTTATTTGTCGCAGCTCTGCGAGAAAGCTATCACCTCCTGATTCCCTCCTCCCCAACCCCCCACTCCAATTCTGAGGTGACAAGTATAGTTTTGGCATATTCAGAATAGGTTCATAAAATGGAATAACCTAAAAAAAAATCTGTGGTTCTTTCTGGTCAGTGTTTTCCATGGAGGAGAGCAAGAATTTAGTGATCTTCCACACATGTGCAGAATCCATGTACAGAAAGTGTGCTAATTGCCAGTTGTACACAGGATGTCCACCAGGCTATTTCCCTAGCTGCCAAAAGAGGGAAAAGGAAACAGTGCACACCCTCCTTTGTTATTGGGGGCATGCATTTGGGAAGCAGCTGTCTGTCTTTAGTTTGTGATAGTAAAACCCAGTGGTGTTATAACTCGTGCTACCTGGTAGGCTCCCAACATGGGAACAGTGAAGAGAGAAGTGAGTCTTGGACCTGGTTCAGACACTCTCTGGGAACAGGAAGAGCACAAAGGCCAATGAAAGACAGGCAGTGCGGGAAGATGCATGGAGATAACAAGTGAATCACAAGCTCAGAGCAGGGCTGGGCCAGGCAAGTGCTTCCAAGAGTCCTCTGAGACCTGGTGGCTGGGGCTGGAGAGGCAAGGTGAGAGGATTGAGAAATAACAATCTAAAGGTTATTTGTGCACAGTGTTCTGGTCCTGCCGAGACCTACAGGCCTGTGTGCTTTCACTGCATAGCAGAGAATGGTACCCAGTGTCCAGCTGCCAGAACTGGTGTCTCTGAGAAGTGAACTAATGACTATTCATTGGCACCATGAACAAGTGGGCCAGTCATCCTTCAGCAAGATAATAGGTATTGTGAATTTGATGATGCTTCAGGACTCTTTTACTAGGAAAAATGAAAGTCTGGGCCACTCTGAGATTACTCATAGCATCCTTTGTTTCTGTATACTTTATTGTTTAATTTTTCATCAAAGAGATTCTGGGCTGGGAAGGTTTGAGGAAGGTCAGTGTAATAGAAAGGAACAGCTCCTACCACAGGGTGGTCCTTTATTAAGAAAATATGATTTTTTAAAAATAACTTTACTTCATGGAGGTAGGAGACCGGACCACATGATCTGTTCCAGACTTTAGAGTCTGCAGCGGTTGTTTAAGAATAGCTTCTACCTTGGAACAATTTCCTAGGGAAAAAAGAGGTATGTGGGAAGCACTGTGCACACACCCTAATGCACTTATGACACACATGCACACACAGGCACACACATATACATGCATGCATACGCACACATGCACAGACACATATACACACAGGCATGCATACACATGTATGCACACACATTTGCATGCATACGCACACATGCACACACATACAGACGTGCACACAGAGACACACATACATGCATGCATGCATATGCACACATGCACACACACAACATGCACAGAGTCATTCACTTCCTACAGAAACTCACATAAACCTAAGGGAAATCTACCACTAGGGAGGCAACAGTACAGGTAGTATAAAGGGGACATTTGAAAAGGCTGTTGGAGATAAATTTTCTTATGAAGAAATTCATAGGCTCCATACTCTTAGAACTAGGCAAAAAATCTGGCCTAGACAGCTGTTCTCCCATCCCAAGGTGAACAGGAATGTAGGTAAAGGAGTTTCCATAGTCACAGGCAGCATCTCTTTCCTCCTTTCTGTTGGCCTCTCATTGTCTTCCCCCATAGCTGATGGCATCTCCCATCCCCTGCCTCTGCCATGATGTTGAATATGTTCACTTAAACTATGCTGCTCTGTAATGTCCTTTGATATTGAATGTAGGGGCTGCTGTGGAAAAATCACAGTTTACTCCTCACCCTAGTCTGCCAGTGGTTCTTCGTGGCCTGTGTTGATACACGTTTCTTAATTATTCTTTGCCTCATCTATCTCTAGGCCTGTAATAGGGGCTTGGGTTGTGACACTCCCTTATTATCCTTATAATGGTGACCATGTAGTTTTATTTTGTCACAGCACATTCCTTTTTGCTTTGCTTCGCTTAGCACTATTGGAATGTTTACTACAAGCAAGTCATTGCACTAAGTGCTGTGGGGGATACAAAGATAAGAAGGGCAGTCCCAAAGGGAGATAAGACATGTATATAAAAATTCTACTACAAGACAGAAAGTGAACAGTACTCTGAAAGCAGTAGAGCTAAAGAACTTCAGTAGGTGACATCCTGTGATCAAGGTCCCAGTGTTTAATCACTCTCACGCTCAATTTATCCTGTTATCAAACTAGATTTCCTGTTGCTGAAATAGAAACCTACTTATCTCTACGAGGGCCACAGGTATTAAGTCATCCTTTAGTCTCGTCTTTTCTAGGCTAGACGCCAATGCCTATTTTCCATCCTTTTAATATCAGCCTGACTATAACAACTCTTCAAACAGGAAACCAAAATTGGACATAATAAAAGCTGACCAAGGCCTGGCTGAAGTCCCAGTGCTGCCTGCCACGTTCCTGTTAACACATCCTAACATCATTTTCACATTGATAATAGCATCTCTTAGAGAGATCATTCATTCAGTTTTGTGCTACATCCAGGGTTTTTGGTTTTTCTTTTTTCTTCTCCAAATGAATTGCTTTGTAAGTCCTATGCCCACGCTTACTCCTTTTGCTTCTCTGAATTCTCGTGGTTCTTTACAAACCAGTTCCTGGCCTCACCTCTATGAAGTCTTCCTGGATTTGACTTTATTTCTTTCTAATTTATCTTGTTAGGGAGAGAGAAACCAAAAAGCTTGAGCCCACTCTTTTTTTTTTTTTTTTTTTTTTTTGAGACGGAGTCTCGCTCTGTCGCCCAGGCTGGAGTGCAGTGGCCGGATCTCAGCTCACTGAAAGCTCCGCCTCCCGAGTTTACGCCATTCTCCTGCCTCAGCCTCCCGAGTAGCTGGGACTACAGGCGCCCGCCACCTCGCCCGGCTAGTTTTTTGTATTTTTTAGTAGAGACGGGGTTTCACCGGGTTAGCCAGGATGGTCTCGATCTCCTGACCTCGTGATCCGCCCGTCTCGGCCTCCCAAAGTGCAAGGATTACAGGCTTGAGCCACCGCGCCCGGCCGAGCCCACTCTTGTTTGCATGTTATTTGAGAAATAATTATGTTGCAATGTGTGAGTCAGCCCCTCCAGCCAACTTGCTGTGAGACTCCCTGTTTCTGTTTAAACTGTCTTGCACCAATTACTTAGGCCGACTCTCTAAGCTCTTTTTAAAATCCAGGGTTTTTAAACAACTGGACTATTTTCTTTTCTTGAAAAGTTTCTATCTGAAAAGGATCATGCCTCTAACTCCTTTCTGCCCTCCAACTTGAAACGTTTCTTTAAAACAACAAACAGTGCTTGGAAATAGCAGGGCTCTAACGATTTTGAATGAATGGTGGCTGGTGCACATCTACAAAATCCTGGTTCTGGTCTCAGTGAAAATAATAATATCTGCTTTACATAATTCCAGGAAAGAAGTGTGTACATGAAGAATGTGATTTCGACCCATAAGAAACTGAATCTAAGCCATAGTGCTATATTTTAGAATGTAGATTTGTTGTTCATAGGTACGGGTTGTGAAGGAAATTATTATAAGGACTCAGGAGATAATTCTAGTGCAGAAGAAAAGGTCAAATCTTCAAAGGAAGCATATATTAGTTCATAAGCCACAGAATTCTCAGGGTGTACCACTCTTGTTCAAAGTATCTAAATATTTCCACAACCATAAATTTATTTGCTGGTGTCCACTTTATGCATCTGGATATTAAATTTACACATGGCTTTTATACTGGAATCAAATCCAGATTTTTTTCCAGTGAGTCTTAAAAAATATTGATTTCCTTCTTTTTGGGGGGTTCTGTTATATTTTATAATCACATCTGACTGGGATCAGCACTTGATTATGATATCTATAGATAGAAATAAATGTATGGTGCCAGGCGTGGGGGCTCACACCTGTAATCCCAGCACTTTGGGAGGCTGAGGTGGGTGGATCACCTGAGGTCAGAAGTTAGAAACCAGCCTGGCCAACTTAGCGAAACCCCATCTCTATTAAAAATACAAAGGCTAGCCTGGCATCAGCTACTCCAGAGGCTGAGGCACGAGAATCACTGGAACCCGGGAGGTGAAGGCTGCAGTGAGCCGAGATTGCACCAGTGCACTGTAGCCTGGGTGACAGAGTGAGACAGAAAGAAAAGAAAGAAAAGAAAAGAAAGAGAAACACAAATACACAGAGTCTTAGTTATTCATTGTTCTTGTGTATATACTTGTTTTTACCAAATAAGTTACAGTGTAACATTTTTGCTGGAAGGGATATTTCCTACCACCACTTTTGCACCTGATACAGCCTAGAAGGGTGTTTGTATGTAACAGATGGCCAGTAAATACTTGTCATTTGTTCCCTCTGGGGTGAAGAAGGACAATGATGGAGTAGAGATGCTGCTTGTTCTTCCAAAGGTTTCTACAGATTAGCCTTTTTTTTTTTTTTGGAATATTCATAACAGTTCTGCACCAGAAATTGGATCTTGGGAGTTCAAGAGTCAACAGGTATCAGGAAGATTGATGAACTCACAGATGCACAAGAGACCGATGCCATCATCTCTAGTGCCAATTAAGATAGAAGAAATGCCGTCTGTCTTCAGTGCCTGGAGAACTCCCATTTCCCAACCAGGGCACCTCCCATTCCCTAAGCCAGGATGTCAGGAAGCTGCACAGTCAATAGAGACTTCTTCATGAGCGTAAAGTCAGAGCAAAGGGAGGTGAAATCATCACAGGTAATATTTTACCCAAGCCAAGGGGAGACATGAGGAAACACTTCTCCAAGTGGAGAGAATACTTTTCATGTCACAACTCTGAGATTCAAGCCATAAATCTCATGTCACCACCCTGAAACTCAACCAACCCTGAGTTCAAGGTCTGTCTCATTTGGATATTCCTAGATCCCCAGGGCCAAACCAGGTCTTGAACTTGGCAGTCATGCAGGTTTCTACTGGCCATTCCTTTTTTTTTTTTTTTTGAGATGGAGTTTTGCTCTTGTTGCCCAGGCTGGAGTGCAATGGTGTGATCTCGGCTCACTGCAACCTCCGCCTCCTGGGTTCAAGTAATTCTCCTGCCTCAACCTCCCAGGTAGCTGGGATTACAGGCATGCACCACCATGCCCGGCTAATTTTGTATTTTTAGTAGAGACCTCACCGTGTTGGTCAGGCTGGTCTTGAACTCCTGACCTCAGGTGATCCACCCGCCTTGGCCTCCCAAAGTGCTGGGATTACAGGTGTGAGCCACCGCGGCCAGCTTCTACTGGCCATTCTTTCTTTATACTCATTAATATTGTGGATTACAGTTGGACTCCACTTGCTTCAATCTAGGATACCTAATGCAATTTGACCCTTATGCATTGTATTTCTCAGAAATGCTCTTCTGTAGAATCTTAGGTACCTTTATGATGGTAGCCTAAGGCAGGAGATTAGAAATAGAGTAGGAGAAGAAAGCTTTTCCATTTTAAGATGCTATTTTACTTTGACGTTATTGAGCAGTGAAATCAAGCTCTTATTAAGATTAAAACAAGAAAAGCAAATGGGGCCTTTTTTTTATCTCGCTAATTTATAGAATAACAACCAGCCTGGCAGGTTTTTAAGGGAAAATATTTAGTAAAAAAACATATTCAATTTTCTCATTTCAAAGCCAGAAGCCATCTGGAAAGCTTTTTAATGTTAACACATTATGAAGACAACAACAACAAAAAAATATAATAGATGATACTTAAAAAAAAAAAAAAAGCAGACAGTCACTTCAAATTTGAAAGCCAATGATCTGAAATATGAATTCAGCTTTCTAAAATATGTTGCAAAGTAGAGAGGGCTGAAGTAATCTGAGATTCTCCTAGGTATTTTAGAATTCAGTCTTTCTAGGATAACTTCAAATTACCTTTCCTTCTGACCTTTTCCCAGTAGATCTAAGAATCAAAATTTTTTTTTTTTTTTTTTTGAACGATCCTCTGTCCCAGCTGAGAATCCAAAAAGTTAAGCTGGAAAGGGTAAAAAATACAATTCCTGAGGAGGCTATTCTATTGTGCTTCTGGGTCTATGTATTTTGAGAGTTCCAGTTCACTAACTTTATTTGAATTACAAATTTTATGTTAACAAATTAACCAAAGGGTATATTTTATGATGAAGAAACTCCATTTATAAATACTACTCCTCCTTCTTCCAAATAGCACTACTCAAGGAGCATAAACCATTTATAAAAATGCTCGACTTTACTGGAAAAAAATAATTAAGTCCTCGTATTTTGATTAAAAAGTATTGGGCTCTAATGTATTACTTCATTCTTTTTCTTTTTTCTTTTTTGTTCCATCATTACATCCCAATATTGGAAAACCATTTACCATTTGGAATCTAAACTTTGAACTCAACTTATATGTTAAACACTACATTCTATTGTATGCTAAACATTCTATTATCAGAAAGAATGTTGATAAATACATGCCAGAGATTGTCCCTACCCTTATCCTACTTCTGCCCATTCTTCTGGGATTAACTGGATACTTTACTCCTCCTGACCACAAGCTTGATCTTTCATTAGAGAAATTTTTGATTATGCAGTTTGTTCACGGTTGGACTCCTGTATGTTTGGTATAAACCCTTTAATTTGATGATTATCTGATTTATAAGGCAGATACTAATTGCAGATATACTAAGGGCTTGAGTACTAGAGTAAATAGGCCAACAAAAGGAAATGGACTCTTACCAAATTCATATCGTTTGCCTCCACAATGCAACTAAATAAGCATAAGTGGTCAAAATTATATGTTGTAAAAGTCCAATTATCCTTAATTATCAAAGAAATACATGAGATAAATCTCTTCATTTCTCTAGAGAAAAGATATGGAGTTGAAATCGCAATGGCTTGAAGGCTCAGCAAAGGAGTGATGAAACCCCAGGAGAGGTATTGATGGTGCCAGCATTTAGAAGACACAACAAATGTCACTGACATTTCTGCCTCCCTCACAAGTAGCTTAGCAAATTTGTCACAGTTGTGCCTTAATACACAGATATGGACTAAAGTATTAGTGTTCATTCAACATTGTATGCTGGTCTTGGAGAAATAAAAATGAGTAAGATGTAGTTTCTGATCTACAGTTGCTTTCAGTTTGGTGGAGAAAACAGATATGAGAACAAATAAACATATAAAATAGATGATAATAGTTAACATACGTAAAAAGTGCCATGTAAGACCTAAGGTGGGAGTAGGGGTCTCCTAGTAAGCACAGCACAGTTTCCTTCTGATTGGGATAAAGCCAAAATTTTAAATCTTCTGCATTTTCTCCTCAACTCACATCTAAAGGAAAAGGGAAGATAAAATGGCTTTGGTTCTCCTAATCTGCAATTGAGGTCCTAAGCCCTCTCCAGAGGTGACAGGCTCTAGGCAGAGTGACGGTGACATTTTATTTCATTGTGTTTCCTCAGCATCTGATTTTTGACTGCCTGACAGCCAGTCAGCTAGCATAAGGTAGTAGGGTAAGAAGTGTGAAAATTCCTTTGAAACGTAGCACATGACCAGCATGAAACCTGCAACTCTCCATGTAGTTAATATAGAAGTGAATCCAATGTAATCACCCAGGCACTTCAACATGATAAACGTATGTCATGAGCATTACCCTTTACACTTTCGATGACATTTTTTCTATATCTTGCTTAATTTTCTCAGCCACCCTGAGAAGTGTTAGTTCTCTTTTATAGATAAGGAAACCCTGATCTGCTGAACTTTTATCCGGTGTCTTTTCTTTTGTCCTTGATTTAAAAGACAATCTCTTCAGCAGGAGTTAGAGGACATTTAGCTCTAATGTGGTAATAAATTGAGAGTGGGGCTTCGTACAATGCAAAGAAAAGAAGTGCCAGAGTTGCAGTAAATGACAGGGTTTCCGGATTTGACCCTGCCACTGACTGTGTGCTCTTGGACATGTTGCTCTACAGACTGTCCAATGATTTGGGCTTCCAACCCCCTTTCAGAGAATGTAGGAAAGACAGCGTATGTTAATTTCTGATGACATAACCCAACTGGACACCAGAATCTGTGTTCTAGAAGTAATTCTGCACTTCAGGCAGAGTTCTCATGGGAAACTGACACCTTTCTGAAGGGTATATGTCTCTGATTTCAGCTCTACCATAGCTCTGACAATGCCACAATGAGACATAATTTGTATGACGTGAGGCACTTAGGGACTAAAGGATTTGGGAATTTCTCCCCGGCCTCAGTCTAGAGTTTTAAAAAACTTCATTCTGTTCAGTTCAAAAGCTACTGGGCATCTGTAGCAATGATAATCCCTAGGTAGCCAGGATATGCTATGAAGATGCTGGCTCAGGGAAAATACACTCTCATGGTTAGATAGGAAGACTTAAAGGATCTTAAAAGGTAGTAGCAGGAAGGACAGGAATCAGATATCAGTTCTTTCTACATCACAATTTTTGCCTAAGACCTCTTAATAATAGGTCCTTTCTCATCTTCATCAAAGGACAAATAGTGAGGGAATATTAGATCCCCCAAATGAGCCCCCACTAAAAAAAGATCAAGATCTACACAACAGTTTTGATTAGAGAAACAGAAGAATTGTTCAAGGAAGGAGTGGGCAGAGATATACATGTATTGTATCTGCCAATCATGCCTTGGGAAAGATGCAGTGTGATTAGACCTGAGGATGCTTCTTGTCTTTGAATCAGCCTGATAACCCATCACCTCATCCTGCTTGTTTGTTTGCTCACTTCCTGCTCCTTTTTCATATTAGTTTCTTGAGTCTCCCCCCACCTCCAGAAAACCTTCCAACAGTGTAAAGTTTTCTGTGGGAATAAAAAATGGGTTGACTGCTGTTATTCTAAGCGGGCACAGTAGTGCTACTAGCTCCAGAAATAAAGGACTCTTTCATTACCTAGTTGCTTTGGTGCCGGCTCTGAGTTATCTAGCTTTTATTTGGAGAGCCCCATGAAGCATACAAAATTCCCACCGGACAAAAAGACCCAGGCTACCCTTAGAAAAATAAAAAGCACATATTGAGCAATCCGCTGGAAACTGTCAGCTGAGTTCCTAAATGATACAGGAAAACAGAACCCAGTGAAGATGTGACATGGGATAGTCCATGTCACCCACAATGGAAAATATGAACATTGGAAGAATTTCCTATTCTAAACAATGTGGGGTTTAAAATACACTCTCTGGAGACTCTCCTGAATGTACAGGCTTGTAGCTGCTATTTATAGTGACCGATGTGTACTTTACTGAGATTTTTATCCCAACAAAGGAACTGTATGTGATGTAGGGAGTTATTAAAATGGAAAATAAGCCCTCACATTCTAACCTAGTCATTGGTACTCATCTCAAATGCAATGTCAAGTCTCACTAAAATAGATCAACTAGAAGGAAGGCCAGTAAAAATTATAAAATACTTTAAAAGAAATTTAATTTTGAAAAATATTCAAGTCTACCTACCTGGTAACTTCCACCAGGCTAGCAAAACGTTAGAAGCTTATTCAAATGGTGAATAAATACAAATGGTTTCTAATTAACAAATTAAGCTGTTCAATGTAAGTGAATGTTTTTAAAGTTATTTAAAAGGTTTAAAAAAGTTGTACTCTCCAGTGTTTAAAAACTAAACCATGGAATGTAGCTTACATATTTAACATGTTAACCAAACCCTTTATTTATAAATAATTCAAAGTTGTACTTTACTAATATCCCTGAATAAATGATTAAAAATTCAAAAACAGTCTGAGTTAATGCAGATTTAGGATAGGCTAAAAACTGATCTTCCACTGCTGATGAATAGTGCTCATTAGATAGCAAACTAGTGGAAAGAACTGATTTTGTTCACAAAATATGCACATGATTCCTCTTTAACCTGATTCACAGATGAATGAGAATCCACTTACACAGCCACCACATTGGTCCGACATGCTCATGATTCACGCCCTGTGGTACTTTCTTGTAGCACCATTTAGGGACCTTTGGGATAATAAAGGTCAAGAACTTCCTTGGAAGACTTGAAAGCAACTGAAGTCATCATTTCTGTCTGCCAGTTCCACCTGACCAAATGACAGCTGCAAATGCAGATCTGTTACTCCTGCTGGCCAATGAGAAAACCAAAGGGCAAAAGAGAGAGGTTCAATATAAATATTGGATAGCTTTCATTACTTTTTTTTTCTTTTTTTGAGACAAGGTCTCCCTCTGCTGTCCAGGCTGGAGTGCAGTAGTGCAATCATGGCTTACAGCTCACTGCAGCCTCTAACTCCCAGGCTCAAGTAATCCTCCTACCTCAGCCTCTAGAGTAGCTGGTACTACAGGCACACAATGCCACATCCAGTTATCCAGCTATTTATTATTATTATTATTTGTAGAGATGAGGTCTTCCTATGTTGCTCAGGCTGGTCTCAAACTTCTGAGCTCAAGTGATCCTCCCACCTCAGCCTCCCAAAGTGTTGGGATCCCAAAGGAGTGAGCCACTGCACCTGGCCTATATTTTTATTTTATTTTGATGAGAATTCTTTGTTCACACTGTATACTTCTTACAACTTTAGACAGCATAAGAACATTTGTCTTGTGTGTTTATTTTTATTATTTCTTGAGGCAAGGTCTCATTCTGTCACCCAGGCTGGAATGCAGTGGTGACATCTCAGCTCACTGCAACCTCTGCCTCCCGGTTTCAAGTAATTCTCCTGCCTCAGCCTCCCCAGTAGCTGGGATTACGGGTGTCCACTATCATGCCCGGCTAGTTTTTGTATTTTTAGTAGAGAAGGGCTTTCACCATGTTGGTCAGGCTGGTCTCAAACTCCTGACCCCAAGTGATTTGCCCGCCTCAGCCTCCCAAAGGGCTGACATTACACGCAGGAGCCACCATGCTCAGCCTGTCCTGTGTGTTTAGAAAGACAAACTTCTTGCCCTCTCAGGGAAGTGGGCTCTCACTGACACCTTTACCTGAGAGTCTGGAGAGAATCTTTGGAATGCCTGGATCCCAGGGCCCTGGAGAAGCTAATACCTAAATTCGTATGATCTCATTTCAAATTTTATTTTTAAATAAATGAATTATTCAGGACACCGGTTACCACTGGGGGTGGGGAGGTGAAGGGAAGGGATTGGAGAGGAGCCTGGGGCTTCAAGGGCATTGGAAATGTCCTAGGTCTTAGGCTGTGTGGTGAGTTTATAGGATATGCATTAGGATGAGTTAGAACTTCCATATATATTACATAGGATTACTTTGTATGCATCAGCTTTCTCATAATTAAAATGAATAAATTAGTAATTTGGGATATACTTTTTCAAAATCATTTGGTAAAAATTAGGCAAATGATTTTTCTTCTGTTATTATTACAATATTTATATATAATGTTGGCACTCAGAGGCTTCTGGTTGATGCTTTAATGGTAATGAAACCATAGATTATGCAACATGAAAAGAGAAATTATAATTTCACAAGGCAAAAAGAGTATTTTAAATATAGCCATCCCTCAGTATCAGCAGGGGAATATAAATGCTACATACATAGTTGTTACACTATATTGTTAAGAAATAATGACAAGGAAAAAAGTATGTACATGTTTAGCACAGATGCATCCATGGTAGGCCTAACTACATTTTTGATCTGGGTTGGTTGAATCCCCAGGTAGAGAGAGCTGACCATACATGATTAATTAAATTATATACACACATACACATATGTATATATAATTGTGACAAAGACCTTGATATGTACCAGACTATTGTATGCTTTTGTCTTGATTTCAAACAAGTAGGGAAAATGGAAAAGCATTCTTGATAATAAAAAGGTAAATTTTCTTTTTATATAGAGACCTTTATATCCATAATTGTCCCGTCACTTTCAAGGTAGCTGCTAAAACAGATTTGAAACAGAGAAGAGGTTAGACACTGAGCCATCTGACACATGCAGTTGTACCTTGTTCAGTGATACCCCAGGTGGTAGCTGCCAAAAGGCTGAGTTTCCTGGGAGGTGACCCCAGAGAGAGCTTTTCTGAGAGCACCTTTCTTACCATGTCCTTCAGCCAGCAGAAAAACAGCAACGAGAGGTAACAGCCTGAGCACTAATCATGTTTCAGGAATTGCCAAGCACTTTATAATCTGC